TCTCCTTAATTCATTTTCACTCACTACTCTCTTCTCACTCTCTCTACCAACCTTCACCGACGACGCCGCCCTCCTCCCTCTCTGCCGACGGCCCAGCCTCGAGGCAGCACAGGCTCGCACATATCTCCCACCATTCGTCTGCGACGCAAGGGCCACCTCTTTCATTTCTCTCTCTAAAAGCAGGCGACAGTGCGGGGCCACGATGTTTCATGCGATAAGTTGGTTAGATTCACAGTTGGTGGTATAGAGTGGTGATTGTTGGTGCGATGTGGCTATTGGTGATTTGAGGCAAGTTGTGGGTTGTGATTTGAGGTGTTCATCCAATGGCGGCGGCGGATTTTATTGTTAGATGTGTTTGAAGGTGGTGACGGTGACTAGTTTGATCGTGGAGTTTGTCGGATCTAGTGGTGGCATTGGTGGTCGTTTTTGTTTGTGGCTGTAGTGGTGGCAACGACGGCGACGTGGCTGGAGGTGGTAGTACTGACATGTTGTCGTGAGGTGGTGGTGTTTTTATACAATGTGTTGATTTGTTGAGATTGTGTTATTGTGGTTCTGGCCGTGATAGTGACGGTGGTGGTGCTGATGGGAGTGGTGAGATGGTGTCATGGTGGTCACAAGTGTTGGTTGTGGTCACAGAGTGTACTGTCTTTTCTCTTCTCACTCTCTCTTCTCTCTAGCAGTGGATGGTGGCAGAGAGTTTGGTGTTTGTGTTGGACTATCTGTGACTTTAAAATTCTACAATTTGTGACTAAAAATTAATCCGTGACCTTAAAATTCGACAATTTGTCACTAAAAATTAATCTGTGACCTGTAATTTTTTAATCAGTGACCAATAGAATAATCTGTGACCTTTAAAATTATTGATTTGTGACCACGAAATAATCTGTGACCTCCAAAAATTTTGATCTATGACCGATATACAAATTGTGACCTATAAAAGTTTTGGACTGTGACCTGAGTTGTGACATGGGCTATGACTTGTGAATTGGACTGTGACCTGAGCTGTGACTTGTGACCTAAATCGTCAG